ATAAACAATGTTTTGAAAAAAGAGCAAAAGGAGGACTTACTCATTGGTTGGACAAACAAATTGCTTCAGCTCCTCCAACCTAAGTTGACCTAGGTGGAATAAGGAGGTGAAATCAGAGTAGAAAATAGCTCAATCGCCCTGTTCATATCATCCGAGAAATCAACTTCAAAATTCTCATCCTCCATATTCACATTTCCAGCCATCAGTGCCTCTCGATAAGCTCTTCGCCCCTCCTGGCAATCCCCATCTAAACAGGCACCCTGAAAACGATTAACCCCAGACACAAATTCAAGACTATCCAAAACCTTGTCAATGACACCAACAACACCTTCAATTAACAACCATTGTCGATCCCGACGAGCCTCCTCTAGGGCAACAGTTTTCTCAACTACAAGGCGATCATGCTCTACGACATCTCTCTCAACACATTCAAGTTGGATAACCAAACCCTCATTTTCTTGCCTTACCTTCTCAGCTAACTCCTTCACATAGGTATTTTCCTGTTCGCAATATGCCACCCTTTCCTCCAGATTAGCCTTCTCTGTAGCAGTCACCTATGTTTTCAATGCAAATTCTCGAGAATAAGACTCTAGAGAAGTCAACTTCACACGTAATCCACTCTTCGCAGCATACATCCTACCATTTTCGACAGCATAATTTTGTAACTCTTTACAAAGTTGCGTACACTCCACATCCACCTTAACAAATTCCTGGAGTTGCCTAGTTGCCTCAACTAAAAAACAAGAACTCTGCGCCGCAAGAAAACGCAGAGGACCGATGACATCTGCCAAAGGGTAGCTAGACATTTCCTCCACAATACCAGGAGGAAACACATGTCGAATATACTCCTTAGCCACAAAGAACACAAAAATCCTAACATTGTCACCCAAACTCCACTGTGGGAAAAAGAGCCCCCTCCCCAGAACCACCCTCACCAAATGGGTTCAAACCACCACCAACACTCGTCCTTATGAGACCAAGAGAAACAAGACCACAAATTCCAGAAAACCTCTCATCAAATTGAACACCCCCCCGACAACCTCGATGCTCTTCCCTCGATTCTCACCAGACACATTATCCACATTAGCTTCAACCAACACTGAAACCGACACAACATTCTTAGTCAAATCCGGCTCATCCATATTACCCCTGGTAACATCATCATCAACCGTACAGGTGGATCATATGACAAATCAATGACTACGCCCCCACCCCATGCCTGCCTAGAACTACATCCAACTCCAAAATGCCATTTATGGGTATGGAGACGACACGCCATCCTAGAAAAATCTATCTGACACCCAACGTCCTGCCACATACGTTTTCTCTTACTAGCACAGTTAATACACCCTCTTTGCTATCCTCAACAGAATCAAATTTAGAAGCACCTTCCACAAAACCCTCATAAAGAATGGCCTCCAGAGCATTAGTACATGACACCCCGACAGCCAAACGTTCAGCCTCCTGAACAACAGTAGCCCGAGCAATAAACTGCTCAGTTTGAAAGTAAAAAGAAGGAAGCGCCTTATCTACCAAAGCAACTTCCCTGAACAACAAAGTACCAGACCATTTCTTTGCCAACACATCTATGAACGAAAATCGTCTTTCAACACGTATAAAAAGACATTTCCACATGATACTTTCTTCTAAAGGGGTGGGGGGAGAGGAACAAACTAAGAGAAGCAAAGTATAGAAGCCAAGAAAAAGAACCAAAAGGAAGCAATGCACCAATGACAATAATGAAGAATTTAAGAATCTTCCCATGAAGAAGCGAGGATGTACTCATACCGCCCCAACCATGACATACTCGGGGAAATCATCCGCAACAACCTTGAAGCTCCTCAGAACTTTAGCAACATTCTCCTTCTCAGGGAACATATCGATCACAATATCAGATGAAGATTTAAAACAACAGAACATGCAACCAAGCCGCTCACTATAAACTCGGAGACAAGGGTTTTGCCAGTTATTGGGAGAACCTTTCCGATCTATTACCAGGATCTGAATATACTTCCTCACACAGAAAGTATAGTTATCTCCAATAGCTAAAGTAGATAGGCGGAAAAAAATATATCGGAACACCCAGAGATCAGACACTATCCCATTACACCAACATAACATCTCAAAGGGAACAAGTTGATCAATATGGATCTTATGATGATCCAAAAGTTCCAAAAGAAAGTCAGAAGATGGCAGACAATAACCGACGTCGAAGTACTTGATGTAGATCACGAATTTACCAGGTGGAGGAGCAATCATGACGGAACCCTCTCCTGAATCATAACTCTGTCCTCAGGCTGAAACCCATAGCACTTCTGAAACCTGAAACCCATCCAATTGGTCAGGAGTAGGCAAGATACCGACTAGAGACTCCATGAAAAACTTGAACGAGAAACAGTACCAAGAGAGCATACGAAGAGGGAAGATGAATGAAAGGGTAACAAAGAAGGAAGGATGGGCAAATATAATGGCTATGAAAAGGAGGCAGGAGAACCCTAAATAATGATCACAACCAAAGTCACCCTGAAAAGTGGTCATGTCTTGGAAAACCGTCAGATGGGTACTCAACCATCTAATGACACATGCACATACTAGTCCACCCATCATGACTAAGCAAGCCTACGCCATAATGGATAAGACTAGGGAGACTTGATAGCGGCCCATAGGGCCACACCAAACCATGTCAGGCGGCGACGCCTCAGAACACACGTTGGAGACTGGGCAGGAGCGATCTCACGCCAACTTGGAAAGCAACGCCCACAGGGGTAGCTTTCCAACACTTTCTCCAAGCGGGCTTATAAAAGGAAAGTTGCCTAACGACAAAGCGGTTTTAGTCGACAACTTTAGTGGTGCACACACCACTACCAACATCCTCCCTAAACTAATCACAGTCCAAGACGGAGAGCAGAGGGCACTTCCACCAATGAGCGTCATTGTCCCGTATCAGGACTAACGCTCATGTCTCCCAAAAGTGGAGTCATCGCTCATGCATCACTATATAAGGCCAACAACCACACTCTCAATGGTAAGTTCCCTAAGGCTAATACTCTCGCAATACCTCCCTCGGACACTTACTTAATAGTCGGAGTGTCCTCCGGGAGAACTGCTGTCGAGTTTGTCTCGTGTGTTCTAGGGCTCGATTGCAGGCAGTAATCCCACCATAGAAACCCCAGATTATTATTCCGCATGACTTCCATATTCACTATTTTTCTGATTTCAGATCCAGTCTCAGTGTTCAATCTTTATCTACCCTTCGAATAGCATGGGCGTATTAGTGTATATCAATTATTGAGAAATTAAATATCCTCATACATTTTATTCCTACCCACTCTCCTACCATATCAAATGTTGACATGTGTCATATTTAATGAAATTAATACTAAATTTAATCCACTTGTCATCATTTGATATGGTAGGATGATGAATAGGAATAAAATATAGGAGAATATTTAATTTCTCTTAATTATTAGCCCAGTTAGTTATCAGTTCATTGTTGTATTGCATAAGCCCAATTGTAATTCTATTATGTATATATATGTTTGTGTAGGTGTGGATGAGAAAGGCAAGCAAGATTATTGCAATCTATTAGTGTCGACACAAATAGATACACAACACAAATTTCTATAAAACCCATATAAGGTAAACTCGTGTCATAACAGTCGTATCATATATTAAATTGTCAGGTCTACTTTTATTTCATGTTATGTTAATTCGTGATCAATTTAACCAAGTTAACCAATTTGTTCCATTTGAATTTTTGATAATTTTTTACGTTTAATGTTATAAGTACTTAAACTAGTTTTAGATAATTGAGTTAATATCTCACAACCCCTAATTGTTGGAAAATCTAATATAAAACTTTTAACCAAAGAACTAAACGTGATTAGATATCATTTTGTTGTTATTTTAAGTAACTATTAATTTTGTCAAATTATGATGACGGTACACAAAAATAATGATATGGCAAAATTTTGGTGGATAAAAAATGAGTTTTTTTGTGTTTTATAGAATTGGAGCCGATATACCTATAACAATTTATGTTTTAAAAAATTATAATTTACAATCATATAAAACTTAAATTATTATGTATAAAACAAAATGTTATGTACTACAGTACTAATATAGAATTGTATAAACGGATGTAATCTAGAATTGTTTAGCTTTTTTTATTATCTTCATATAATATTAAAATTGTTTCACAATTACTTTATCTTATTCTATCTGAATACTTTAAAATCTCAACTTTATTCTTCTTGTGGGCAAAGATTCAGTTGATCTTGATTTTATAAGCAGAAGAGAAACATAGGGCCGGCAATCTTTCGGCAATGAATCAATAAAAACTATTGTTTTCTTCTTATTTAGTTTATTCATTTAAAAACATTATATCTTTTAATTTATTAACTATATCTCATTTCTTGATTAGCTTTCTGAATTATTATAATAACTAATCAATCAGTGTTACGTATTTACGTTTGCATTTGTTTGTTCCCACACGTTTATCTTTTGATATCTTTTTCTCATCCATAAGTTATAGAATTATGCTTTCCTACAAGCTTTTGTATAAAATAACAAGGGTAAATTAAAGTTTTGGTCCCTTCAGTTTTATCAGATTTTTACTTTTAGTCTAATTTGTATAAATTGGATAAGATCCATCCTTATGATTTAACATTGCGCATCCTTGGTCTATTTAAAAAAATATTTACCATGAATTTTTAGTTTGTTGTGTGTCTATTAGTGATAGATCTATTATAGATATATATATATATATATATATATATATATATAGGTTTAGGTTCTATGGAAAACAAAAAACCCTAAAAATCAAAAAAATACATAAAAAAAATATTTAGAGATCACAAAACTTTTTTTTGAATTTTTTTTTATAAAAAATCGCAGCTTTTTATTAAAAATCGCTGAAAAAAAATAAAAAATCAAGTTTTTTTTTTTTTATATATAAAAAAAAATTCAAATTTTTTTCAGCGATTTTTTCATAAAAAAAGTCAAAAAAAAGTTTTGTGATCTCTAGGTATTTTTTTTATGAATTTTTATGATTTTTAGGGTTTTTTTGTTTTCCAAATAACCCTTCCCTATATATATATATATATATATAGGGTGACTAACCATAATTAACCAAGGAACCAATCTTTTTTTTCAACTTTTAGAACTTATTTTTTATCAAAAAAAAAACTAAAAATACAGAAATTCATAACTTTTTATCATTTTTCCAATGATATCAAATTCGAATTTTTTTTTTTAACATCAAATTCACAATGTGAATCTTTGAAAATTCACAATGTGAATCCGGTTTCATACGGTGAATCCGAAAAACATTTTTCACATTCACATATAATATATGAATTAGAATTTTAGATTTTTTTTTTCGATAAAGAATAAGCTTTAGAAATTGATAAAAAAGATTTGGTTCATTGAAGAACCAATAATTATGGTTCTCTATTGAATTTTTTTTTTCTCTCTCTCTCTCTGTATATATATATAATATATATATATATCATATATATATATATATATATATTATTTTATTTTATTTTTTTAAAATTTTATTCGCTTAAATTTTGTTCTATTTAATTATATTTTTTTTATGATTTAGATCTTTTATGACGTTTTATTCGCATATATTGTTTAATGTATTTTTACATTTTGTTCGCTTATATTTTTTTGATGTTTTGTTTGAATGATTGTTTCAAGTTTTTTTGACGTTTTGTTTGTTATTATTTTTGTAAAGATGTTTATAAATACCTTTTGTAAAAAATATATAAAAATGATTGTTAAATGTGAATATGATTAACATAGATTAGGAATAAACTTATTTATTTTAATATCATTAATATATAAGCCAACCGAAATTTGAAACGAGTGGCAAATTATACATAGGCTAATCAGAATCTGTATAACTTGAAAACAAGTGTTAATGTTTTCGAGTTTATTCTTTTTAGAAGTTTTATTCGTTTACGAGTTATATATATATATATATATATATATATATATATATATATATATATATATATATCAAGGTTCTAAAAAACTTGATGACTTCAAAGCTTGTACTTGATACCACGATTTAACAAAATGTCGTCATAAAGTTATATATATATACTATATATTATATATATATATATATATATATATATATATATATATATATATATATAAATGATAATACTAAAAAAAATATATATATATAATCATTAATTACAAACGACATGGCCACCACAACTCGTAAAATTTTGAGGTTTGATATTGCCATCAAGTCATGTTTAACATTATTTAGAACAATATATATATATATATATATATATATATATATATATATATATGGGTATGCTCTTTTGAGAACTTCAATATTTATGAAAACTCGAGAATTAACTTAAAAACATAAAAATAAAAATACCTAAAGATATCTATTTTTTTAAACTTTGGAAACATAAAAATCGCTCATTTTTATAGGAATCCGTTGAATTTTTTTTTTTTCAAAAATGAATTTCTTTTTTATTAATTTATTTCAGCATATATATATATATATATATATATATATATATATATATATATAGTTAAGATCTTTTGAGAACTCAGTTTCATAAAAAAACCTGAGAACTAACATAAAAGCATACAAAAAAAATTATTTGAGATACTTAAACTTTTTTTTTTGATGAATAAGGATGTGCAATGTAATTTTTTTAAATCGTATAGATACATCCTGTCAAATTATTTAAAATTAGACTAGATGTATGAATCTGAGTAAACCATATGGACCAAAACTCGAATTACTGAAGAACAAATATAAAGATCTAATAAAACGCTTTGTTGAATTGATAAAAAGAAATCCAATTATCAATTTAGTTTTATTTATATACATTGAACTTTATTAATTTCTGTTAAGTTTAATTTAATTGATTGTAATATCAACATTCTGTTTTCCGTATTATTGTTTTATTTTTGTTCATTATTTTTTTTTTTAATTTTGTATGATCTATTTAACTGTACATATTTCAATATCACATATTTTCAAAATATATAATGAAGAATGTGGGCTTTTTTTTTGGTTGAAGTGAACTCTAAATACACATCTATTAATTGACCTTCGAATTCTTTAGTTGTCAACTCGGTATTATGGTAGAATTTAATCTATTTTAAATCAGTAAGGTATTTCAACATATTGAATAATTTCATTCAGCCATACATTATGAATGCTATAAGTGATTTGTTGCACCAACAACTACTATTATTATCCCCGATTTCCATAATTGTTCTTGTTTATGATCTTCAATGTGAAAAATTAAATTTGGATAACTTGAATCTAAACGATCTACATCAAGTCCATCTAAAAGCTATCATGTGGAGGCAAATAAAGAATATTAGTAATTTATATGCTATATGTGTTTGTGTGTATGTATGTGTGTTTTATGTGTTTGTGTGTGAAAATACATACAGTGGTGATGCGGTTAGGAATACGAAGAAAACATAAAACTAATAAAAGGGGAAAAGCACCAAAAGATGGATTGATGAAAAGGAAAAGAAACACCAGACCCCACCATCATACCACCAGCTCTTCCGGCTTTGACACGTCGGATAGGCCTTTTCTCTTCATGTGGCAAAAGCTTGGACCCACTCTCTTTTTACCCCAACTTCCAATTCATTCCCTACCAACAACTTATTTATTAAACTTGATGATATTATAAATCCAAAAATGACCACATCTCGGGTGGTTACAATTAATAAAATATGATTTTTATGAGTTATAACATACAATAATTATTCATTTAGCAATAGATTTGACTTTGTATAGCGAAGCAATTATTTTATATACGGAAAAATAGTTGGAAGTTAGTAGTTAGTAGCTAGATATTAAAAACTAATAGCCGATAGTTGGAAATTGTACTTTTTATTTGTATAAGAGTGTTCACCACAAATACCTGAAAGGTTTCGAAATATATA